GTGATTAATATAAGTGATTTAGCGCCTGGGGATTCACCTTCACACAGAGATCGATGGTTTGGATGTTTTCTACATTATTACCCTTTCAGCAATTACCTCCCACAGATACTTGCATTCGTGTTAATGAGCCAGAAGTTATTAGCATCCATAACCACCATCTACACGTTTTATAGTTACATGAGGGCTCTTCCTTTATGACCACATCTTACAAGCAGTCAAATCTACAATATGAATGAAAAAGTCTTTTCAGGAGGCATTTTGGAAAGGAAAAAAAATAAGGGTGAATTTTGTTAGTGTTAGGATGAGAAAGATAACATGAGTGTGAAATCAGAACGAAGGACGGTTCAGGCCTTTGGTGATGCAAACAGTGCTGAGATTTGCCCAGTTCTAAATGTTATGGTTTCTGTTTAATTGGGTATTGCTTTGTCCTGGAAGAGTGAGAAAAAAACAACAGGGAAGAGTGTGAATAGCTCAGGCAGGAACACCGTACAGATAGAACGAGCACAGTGGTGTAATTTGCACGTTTGCTAGATTTACTCAAATGAGCAAACTTCAGCATCAGACTAGGATGTACAAAGATTAAACTGCTTTACATAGTGCTAGAAAATGACCTGCTGAAAGAAGCTCCACAGAGCTCCCAGGTGTCCTGGTGAACAACAGGTTGGCCATGAACCAGCAGTGTACAATTGTAGCCAAGGACAAGGGATGCATTAAAAAGAGTGGCCAGCACATTAAAGGTGGTGATTCTCCTCCTCTACTCTGCCCTCGTGAAGCCACATTTAGAATACTGTGTCCAGTTCTGGGCTCCCCAGTTCAAGAAAGACAGGGAACTGCTGGAAAGAGTTCAGCGGAGGGCAACAGAAATGACAGAGCCCGGAGCATCTCCCATATGAGGAAGGACTGGGAGAGATCTGTGACTGCTCAGCATGAAGGAGACTGAGAGGAGGATCTTATGAATACTTTTAAATATCTAAAAGATTTGGAGGCAAATCTTTTTGGTGGTGCTCAGTGACAGGGGAAGGGACAACAGGCACAAACTGGAACCCAGTCAACAGGAACACTTTGGTTTGGTTCATACCATCCCAACACTCATACTGGACAGACATTGTTTTACAATGGCAAAGCAGTATAGAATGGAAGGAGATTGTGTTTTTGCACTATCTTGAGAAAATTCTTTCAATTCTTAATTTCAAAGACAGAGAAGAGTACATTCCCAAGGAAATCTTTGAGTGCATGTTTTAGCATCCTTTTATTTATACAAACAAATTTTTATAATGTAGAAATTATGAAAGGACAGCATAGCAATAGGACAAATGTGAGCATCAAAAAAGTTTTTTACAATAAGGGTGGTGAAGCACTGGAACAGGTTGTCCAGATATGTGGTGGATGACCTGTCCATGGAGACATTCAAGGTAAGGCTGGATGGGGCTCTGAGCACCATGATGTAGCTCCCTTTTCACATGTCCTGTACAGCAGAATTGTGCAAAGTGGGTACAGAGCATGGGCCAGCTCTGAAATTCCTTGTGATCAAAATGTATTGGATGCCCTCCTTTTATTCACTCCCAGCTCAGCCAGAGCTGTAACACATAACCATAATGCTAAGAAATGGCAGCTTGTCTGAAACTGTATCAAGTGTTAAAGCCAAGAGTTTCCATTAATAGTCATAGTACATCGACTTCATCTATGGGAACATTTTCTTCCCTTCCTTCAAGTCAGAATTTCCCAGCAGTGAACTGCTAGAGCCAAAGTTAGGCAGAATATAAGAAGCAACAAGTCCTTTGTACCTCCTTCAGTGGCTGAACTTCAACTGAAATCTCAACTAAAGGTTTTCCAGAACTTTGGTTTTCTGCCTTATAATCTTCTTTCTTTTTTCTTCTTTTGACTCTGAAGATCCTAGAAATGTAACTTTCTTTTTCCTAAAAAACTTGTAATATATATATGTAACTGAACTAAATGTTTCCTTCTCTTGGTTCTAAATGTTTTGGTTTCTGTTTAATTGGGTATTGCTTTGTCCTGGTGGAGTGAGAAAGCATAACAGAGAAGAGCTCATCAACCTGTTCTGTACTGCTCATTATTTTGTATGCCTCCAACACAGTTCCTTCATTTTTTTCCCTGTCAAATGTCACTGCTTTTACAATAGGCCAACTGTACTGAAGACATTACCTTAGGTGAGAAGGCTGCAGCTATATGGTCGCAGCGTGACTACAGACAGAAACCCATTTTCAGCAAGTGAAATATTTTATTTGCTGTCAGCCAGTTGAGGCATACTGAGCAGGCTCTCACATTTTGCTGTAGGATGCTTAATTTCTTTCCACTTCTTAGACAGGACCCGGGCACGCTGTGGTGGACAAACTTCAAGTAGTCAGGCATATGTGACTTTGATTCAGATTTATAAAGCTCATAGAATCATAGAATCATAAAGGTGGGAAAGGACCATTAAGACCAACCATCAACCCATCACCACCATGTCCCTCAGAGACACATCTACCCTTTTCTTGAACACGTCCAGGGACAGTGACTCCCCCACCCTGCCAGGCAGCCTGTTCCAATACCTCACCAAGATTTTTATGTGCCTATAGACAAAATGTTGGATTTCTTTTCTCTTTGTTTTATTTTTATTTTTCTGTTTTCGAGATGTCTAATTTTCCTGTAGCTGTTAAGAAAATTTCAGAGCACATGCTCTTTTTCAGATTCTTCTGTGTATGCCTCTGCTACCTGGGTCCCTTTTAAAATGTGGTTTTCAAGTCTTTATTATTGATTGCTCAATTAATTACTCTAAAAGGCTTTTTTTGCTTGCAAAAGGAGTGGACGGGGTTCAATGTCTCTTTGGCTTGTCTTTCTATGCTGGACAAATTGAGATTATAAAATATGCTTGTAAATACCACTTCCAAACCAAAGAAATTTTTGACCCTAATTGATTGCAGAGATGTTATCTGATGTAGCACAGAAAATGTATATGAGATTACTCAGTTATATTTATCTCTGTGCTTTAAGAGTTTGTCTTCCCCATTATGTAAGGAAGTCTTTATGAGTCTTTATATCCTTCTTTATAAGGAAGTCTTTATTTCATTGTCGCTTGAATGTAGGCCAGGTTGTACATAAAACTGTGTCCCACCATATAGGATATGCTTGCCCTGTTCATTCATTTGTAAGTGAGCCTCATAAACAAGATCAGATGAAGACAATGATGACCATCTGATCTACAGATTAAGGCTACGACAGCCAGTGAGTTGCAGTGGGCAGAAATCACATGATAAGGACAATGTGATGTCCTGTATCTGACATCAGTTGTGTTTTACCTGGAAGGCAACAACAGTAAAGGTTGCCCAAAGCTCTGTCCCAAATGAAAAATCATGCCTGTGCCTTGCAGTAGCAGGGAGCTAAAACTAGTATGGAGACCCATTTCCCATCTTCTGTTAGGAAGCAGTAGATAATTTTATGAGCAAAACTCACAGGAGAAGTGACGCTGTTGAATTCAGTGCCCTAAGATCTTACTCCATAAAGGTGAGGTGGGGGCAGTCCCAACAGTTCACCACCATACACTGACTGTCCTTAGAAGTGCTTCCCTAAACACATTCCTTTTCCTTATTCTGTGCTGCAATCTTTTGGGCACAGCATGGTTGGACATTCGATGAAGGTTCATACTTCACTCTGCACGTACTTTTGTCAAAAAAGCTTTTATTGCAATGCAAAATATCCTCTGTATATGACATCTTTCTTCCCCCCCAACCCCCTTAAATTTAATGAGTAATCCTTTCTGGGTTTTTACATTGTGTTTCTTGAGTGTATGTATGAATATATATACATATCTATATATCTATCAATCTATAGATATTATATTAATACAATCATATATAAATCTGGACCTATATCATTTTTTATATATACACATAGCACTAGATATGTGTGTGTGTGCATATACATATATATACATCATATATACACTGTATGCACATATATGCACACACATACATATTGTATTATCATAAACATCTGTTGGTTGTCAAGGAACTTTTCTTTAACAAAATAGGTTCCATCAGTGGATTTTACTTCTGTAGTGCAATTTTACAGGAAGTTAACATTTCCACATTCAATATAAAAGAAACAATATACATTTGAAAACGTGCCATAGGATTTTTAATGAAAAAATTAGAAAAGTGCATTATTTTACAACACTACAGTAAATGATTCTTTTTTTTTTTTTTTTTCTTCTCTGTAAAGACATTGTAAAATATATACAGGGTTGCTTAGTGCATTCATTACAAAAGAAAGATGCAATCCCTTGCATAAATTACATATTGTACAGGGGTTCGCTGTCTACTTGGACTTGTAAACATTTGTGTGATACAGTTTTCATTCTTTATGTAAGCTGCAATACATCTTATTTTCATTTCACTGTTGTTGCATTCTAACTCCAGTACGGCATTCTAAGGCCATGTGTGAAGGCATCCTCTCCCATTATGGAGAAGGCCAGAAAAGGAAATGAAAACACAAAAGAGTTTTTAATTTGGTTCTCTGTAGTCACGTTATCACTGATTTCACAAATCACATCTTGATGCTTATGATCTTCTCTTTCTCCTTTGCTAGGACCAGCTCAACAACTATGTTGAAGTTAGAGGTCTGAAATGAGCAGAGAAAACTGCTTACAGGAGGTAAATTCTCAGTGCAGTCCACAGCCAAGCATCTATAGCATTCCTCTTTCCAAAGGACTGTGCTTCTAGTGCTCCGTGTGCTGCACAGAAAATGTATCAACCAGGGCAGAAATGTAGGGACTTTTGCTCTGTCTCAGGTCGTCGAGGGCCTTTAGAATGCCGTCAATATGCCATCGGTAAGTACGCATATGCACATTCAAAGAAGTACAAAAATGCACCAAAAAGTGTCAAGAGATCCAAAAGAGACATAGCATCAACACACACTCACAAACACACACATACACACGCGCTTCTGTCTGAGCAGGAAGGCTCAGTCTCCAAAGTAGGAATCGCAATTTAATTTCAACATGTATGTGTGTTTGGAAGAAATCCAAGAATTTCCATACAAACTCCTTAGGTCCCAAATTGAACACTTTTATCCCTGTTTCTCTTAGATGAACAGTTTGTTGAAGTAAGAAATTGCACCTTGAAGAGACAGTATCCACATTCTTTTGGCCTACTGGAAACAACTTTTAAGCCCCCCTCCCATTCTCCTTTGACCTATCCAGCTCCAAATAATTTTGTTTGCCGTTATAACACTAAGATCAAAAGTTTTAGTCCATACTCCTCAATGGCAACAAACAGCCACACAAATCTTAACAAGTCAAGGGAAGAGGAAAAAGAAAACATTTTTTTCTTCCACAGATCACTCCTGACCAGGCAGAAAAGCAGCAGATGGATTATTGGTTGTATAGCACGTTATAAGAACCTTCCTGCTTTTACCTTCTGTAAAAGAAATTCAGATTAGGGTTGCATTCTAAAGAACGAGCCAGTTTCTCATTACTTCTCTTCATTAGCTACTTGTTAAAAAGGTTTGTAGTAGGCAGAACTTCTTCTGAAACATTCATGAGTTTGCTTTTATCATACAGGGTTTAATCCAACAGTGCTTGCATCCAAACTAACTTTGGGTGGACCGACCAAACTTGTTAAAGACTGAGAGGCACCCAGATATCCAGGAAATATCTTAATAAAATCTACTGCTAGTGGAATGGTGTCTCAACCCTCATGTAACCCGGATGCCTGGATCTCAATGTTGTTATACAGTTAGTGTACCTACTCTGCAGTATCTGCATAATATTCCTGCACAACTAACAACTTGGGCAAAATGTACATGCAACTGAGCAGTCAAAAAGGAGGTAAATCAGCATGAGAATTGTGTTGAGTTCTCAGTGGCGAATACACCAGATCAGTTGCACTGATCTTCAGAAAAAAATAGAAACAGCTCAGTATTAACAACAAGGAGAAGATTCCCACTGTCATCTCTGACTGCAGTATCATTCCACGCTGGGAATTGAAAATATATGCTAAGAAGGAGCAGTATGATATCCACCTTTGCTGGAAAATGTATGTGACAGGAATTCTACAAAGAGTAATCACATGGAAAGAGCTGTCATTGAAAAGCAACTGAAGCCAAGAAGCTGAAAACTGCTTCAAATCAGAGAGATCAGAGAAGCATATAAAGCTCTTTAAAAGAAACACCAGGAAAAAAAGACTATGGATCTGTCCAAAGGCTCTGCCACAAACACAACAGAAACTCTGGCTTCTTTGTGACACTGGGAAAATTTGTTTCCTGTAACAGGTATGGTGTCTCAAGAGAAGTCACAAATGAGAAAAAAAAAAAGAAAAAAAAAAGATAAATGTTAATCTGCCTCCTTTTTCAAAGTACAAATTGCTAGAGTGTTGCTTTTCTCCCTCTCCTACCTAATATCACAGTTCTTTACTAAGCCAAATGCTGAGCAATGAGACCCAGCACGCCCTAATTTCACAATCCAAGACAGACGCTTGTCAATCTTTGCAACTCACCTATGAAGAAGACAAGCAGTGTTATTCATATCTTACAAAAGAAATGCAGATGGTCTTGGATTCCCAGACATTTGCTGCTCTGAGCTCTTGCCCGGTGCACTAGAAATGTGTGTTAGAAATAAGCCTCAACCTTCAGCACCTTCACTCAGAAGCCAGGAAGAAATCCACTCTGTTGTTCTGTAACCTTACTCAGAGAGGGCTTGGGAAGATAAACTATAAAATCAGCTCCCTCATCAATCCAGCTTGTGATGGAGGAACTCAGTTGTACCATCTCCATTCACCAGTTTGCAAACCATCCCTATGCTCAGCCCTCCCAGGCTGACAGATTTGGGCTCTCCCTTAGAAGCACGAGCTATCTCACACAGCACAGCTGAGAACCTTCAGGGATGCTCTAAAAGGGTACCAGTACCATGCTCCATCCTGAAATACTCACCCCTCTAGATCATGCCATCTCTCAAAGACACACCTCTGGTTCTTTTCTCTGCAAGTAAGACAACATCAGGCTGACAGCCAACCTCCACAAATACATTTAAACCTCTATATAGTTCAGTGGGAGTTAAACACATTACTCCATGTATCAGATCTAAGCTGAAATCCTTTCCTTGCACGCTCCCATGAGCAGCTCCAGTCAATGTGCCAAGATGACATTGTCAACAGGACACCTGTGGCATGACCTCCATGTCAGCAGTGACACTACCAAGCAGGCCTTTTGGAAAGTAGACTTCAGACTGAGATCTCAGACTCTGGGAGGCCAAATCATTTACATGCTCTACTTCAGCTAATCTAATTAAATAATGTTATCAAATTAATTAGCCTTTTAACAATAATTATGAATAATAATGATGAATAATTATGGGGATGTGGTATCAAAGATGAGCAGGGACACCACACTCCAAGTCTTTCTGAGCCACTGTACAGATTTTAATTCGGCGACAGGATGGATGCTGCTGCTGACCTCTTCAAAGCACAGTGGAGCAAAGAGGCTTTAGGAGACACAATTCTTCCTGGTCCCATTTTAACATCAACACTGTAATGTGGTCTCACCAATGACAATCCACTCCACCATGAAACTGCTCCATCCTTCCCACATCTCCTGCCACTCCTGCCTCGGAGGACAATGGTAGATGGCTAGCAAAAAGGCTAGAAGACACAAAAGGCACATGGTTTTTCCTTAATTTGGAACCACATCACAGACATTATCTACACACAGTGAGTAAAGCACTGTGTCTCTTTGCAGGCTTACACTGTTTGCACTTTTTGCTGATGTCCAAGCCCTCCACACAGGCTAATGTGTGGCATCCCAGTCAGGGCAAAAGTGGATTTCACCCATGCAGGTTTGTGCACTTCGCATTTTGTATTTGACTCCCCACATCTTGTTTTTAATCAATCTGTAGATTTCTTTTGTCAGTAGTAATTAGAGTGGAACATTTCCTTCCCCAGGGTGCAGTTCTGTAACATAATGCTTTTCATTAATGCATGACGGGGGAAAGTACAGAATGTGGTGATCCTGGGTTTGAACATACATCTACAAAATGGCAAGCTAATGAGTTAATGTCTGAGTAGGGAAGGGGGGGAAATACAGAAAAAGCCAAAGGGGACACTGCCTGTGCAATGGATCTTTCTTCTAGCCTCAAGTATACTGCTCAGGATAGAGCAATTACTGCAAGCTGTTCCACAGACAAGATAAACGATGAATCAAAGCCAGGCTAGCGGTAGCAGAACTCATGCACAAGGAAGATGCATTATGGTGCATAGTTTCAATTATTATATTTGCTTGTTCCACTTGTGAATTAGCCAGCTGTAATAAATGTTATCATGCTGCTGTTTGCTCTGCATTTCTCAAAGTGAACTAAAAGACAAAAGAGTTTCGAACTGTAGATATTAATTACTAATAAAACTGCAGCATTAATTTTTCTTTTCTCTCTTTTTTGTCTTTCCAATCTTTTTTGAGTACTAATGTATGACAACACTCCTTACATGGTCAGAAAATAAGGTGAAGGAGGGCTCTGGGATATTTGCTAATTACAGTATTCACAAAAGGAGAGACATCAGAATGCTGAAGGCTCTGGGGATAATATTTCAAGCCTAAAATTAGCAGCCAGCTTTGGTTGCCTGGATTCCATAAAGCAAACTACAATTGCATAAGTTGTACATGTTGACTGCTATCTTCAAGTCTTTCTACTCCCATCATTAGGTTTAGGAAAATTTGTTCACAGCAAGCACTAGTTGGAGACACAGATATATCTCAGAGTATGTAGAAAGTCTCTGATTGCAGTTTCAGTAAGAGATGTATAAATAGAGACTCATCCTAGTTTTGGGTGTTGCAACCAAATTGGCTAGGTTACCATACTGAAAGACTACATGACAAAAAAATTGCCCTTGAGACTTTTATTTCTCTTCAGCTTACCAGTTCACAGCATAACATAAAGGCACCAACTCCAGAGGATAGTCCAGCTAGGGCCAGCTCAACAGCTGTAACATCCACCTCAGGTATGCAAATCAAACCAGCATTACTCAGGCTGAATAGTGTCTTGCTTTCACTGAAGAAAGCAGTAAAAACCTGACCACGGATCAGGAGAGTCATGAATGTGAACTCAGATATGGGTTAGGAAACAGGAATGGTGAGCAAAAATCATCCACAAGACAATTTTTGTTCAAGCTAGTAAGGCCAAGCATAGACTATGTCTGAGCAGAGAACATCTCCCAGTCTGATTCTACCCAGATCAAAGCATGACAGTCTTCAGAATTACCTCACTGGTGTTTTTGACTGGAGACTACCCCTCCTCTTGAGAACAATGTCTTTCTTTTCTTTTCATAGTGAAAGTTTTTCTGCCACGTAGATGTTATCTATATCTTAAATAATTGCAAACTGCGTTTTGGAGAAGGCTGCCAACAGTTTTCATGGCTCTAATTCAGTCTCAGAGCTCAGATTAACTAGCGTAAGCGTCCCAAAGTGCCTTCCATCTGTAATCAATTTCTCTGTGTCCAATGTCATTATTCTATTTATTTTTATTTTGGTGCATCATTATGGTGGTTAATCCTTTTCACATGGTTTGTCTTACTGAAGTTCCCAAAATAAAGTTTGATATTAAAGACAGATGACAGGCAGGCTGCTTAGAAAGACTATTTCTTTTTCAGCTCTGTGAGTATTATGCAGTTCTAGTTGTTGACAGTAGCGGTGGCACGATTCTCGCTGCAATTTGTGCAGATTCCAGTCAATAACAGTGTCTTGTTGAAATATGCATTAAAAAGTCCATAACATTAGTGTAATGGACACACTCCAACACATCTCTCTGGTCTGGCTTCCTCATAAAGATTTTAAATGACTGTCTTAATTGGATCCTAATATTAACAGGAATATTACATAAAGCTAAATGAGGACATAAACTCCAACTGAAAGCTACTTCCACCCAAGCCCTTGCTCTCTGGTCCGCAGAGGAGCAAGGGATAGGAACATTTCCTTTCTCCATCCCGATTATATTGGCTGCTATTTTTTAACCTTTCTACAATGAATGATTCCTTTTTTTTTTTTTTTTTTTTTCCATAACAAAAGCTTCAAACCTATCACAGAAAACAAGAAATTATCTTGCTCAAGATGAATGCACAGAAATCATGATTCTTCGATCGAAGCACTAAGAAACTGATGAGACAACCTATATTACAGTAGATTAATTTAGTCACTTCTTTTTTTTTTCCTTTAAGCTGGTGATTCTGTTCTAATGAGCTACTACAGAAGAATCCAAAAAGAAGTCTACTGCTGAATACCACTGTACATCTTCTCCATACAATAACAACCAAGACCTATTCTGCATCCTTTAACTAACATCCAGACACCCCATCTAGATAAGTCCCATTACAATTATCCTTGTAAAGCATATCTATATATACAAAGTTCTGGCAAAGAAGCCCTAGTTAGGTCAGTTGGGACATTCCTTGTGTAGTGATGCAGACCAAGCAGAGTTGTGTCTGTACAGTTCTATTGTTTCCTCTTTTGTTTCCACATTGCAGCATGCTCAGACAAAGCTATTCTGGTGCTGTACTGATCAAACTAATTTTTTTTCCTTTGATAGTAATATGAAATATGATAGGATAATAGGGTTGTTATGTAATCAAAGTTGACAGCAGGGAGCTAAATTTGTGTTGTTTTGATGAACAGCACATTAGTGTGACATAAATAGATTAATCTGATTTATTATTATTATTTCTAATGCTTAATAATAGGGGAAATGAGACTCTGGGGAATGATAGTGCATCACAAAGTGATATCAAAAGTCTGCGTGCTATGGAAACATAGGTTAGGTACTTTGGATATTAGAATGTCTTTTCATGACTAGACCTGCTTCTGAAGAGTGACTAGACAGCAAGAAAGGCTCTCCTGAAAGAAATAATACCTTAAGTGGAATAAAACCAACAGCGTACCAGAGAAAATATGGTGTGAAAAGCAGCACTGTGGAAGAAAGCTGATATTCACATAGGTCAGTAAGTAGTCAGAAATGGAACAGGCAAAAATCACCTTTCACTGACTGATTTTGCATGTTCTGCTGGAAAGCTGGTATTAACCCCTGACAAAAGCAACTTTTTTATAATGCTGCCTGTTCTAGCTCCAGACAGCCCAAGTCATTATTCACACATCAGTCAAGTACCACCAAAAAAAAGCGTGAGAGAAGCATTTTCAACATATTTTGCCTGGTCTACCGAGGCTTCACACAAGCATTCTTGTATCTGTGGCTGCTCACAAAGAAAAGTTCTGTAGGAGTTCATGTGAGTATCTGAATGCAAGGAGGCTTGCAAAGAAAATGTCCTGCCACTTCAAAATCTCATGCGCACCAGAAATACAGAATGGACAGAATCGTGAGTTCTTCAGACAGAAAGTAGAACCATATGAAAATAGTTTTAAATCCTAAGGAATGCAGACACTTTTCCCAAATGCCCTCCCACCAACTCACCGTCTGAAAAGCATCACTGTGGATATGGCCCCTTCATATCAGCACACATACATTTCGTTATCCACATCCAGAAACTGTGATTACACTACACAAGAGCATTTAGAAAGCCACAGTGTTTTAACACAAAGACTCCAATTGGCAGACAGCCCATGACCCACTAGATAAGCTGCTCCCCTGGTTAAATACCACCTGTACTAAAATATACCCTTCATTTAACTTCGTTTATGGTTTCAGAGAAGAGAATGAGTAATAACTCAGCTGGAATATAGCTTTGAAATTCTGGAGTTCAACACGATTTACAGGACATTTAAAATTATTTTTGTACGCAGCAGAAACAGGATTTTCTTCTTCTAAAAGGAAGAAATGAAAGGCGAAGCGATGCTTTCAAAAACGTAACTGCTTTTTGACCAAACTGTTCAAAGTTTTGGTTACAAGTCCTGTTACAAATGTTTTTCTTTAATAGGCAGATGGCATTTCACCCTCCTGAAATCTGTAACATCCCAAAGATTTCCTGCTTTTCTCAAGTGTCGTGTATACATCAGCACTTCTACATCATGTGGACGTGTATATACTCTTTCTTTTCTCCTTAGCAGGAAAAGAAACCTACAATTATTTGCAGTTCTGGGATACTGTCAGCAAAGCTATCAAAGAGAATTTGACAGCACTGTGAACCCTATGGGCCACTCTTCAGAAACTAGCTTCTAGGTGGTTTTGACTGGAGTGCTTTAATACATCCTGAAGCTGCTTTTCGAGGTACTCTTGCTTCAACACTTTTGCCATCAGCACTTGCCTCAGGACATGGTGCAAGCAGCACATCATTAATGCATCCAGCATGCTATCCTACTACACTGACAAAAGTTATTCCCATATGTTAGGCTGGAAAAGTTCATTCTCATCCATTCTCATTACGAATTCTAAGTAATCTAAATGGAGATTTTCATGCCACAGCATTTTAAAATCCCGAAGGAAGTTACACATTGAACTTAAAGGTATGGATCCTTGCTTTTCATTTACTTGTTGAAACACAAATATCAAAATTAGGAGAACACAAATGTGTTTGATATTGTTAATAACTTAAGGTCAAGGAGAACAGAAAAAGAAGGGCGTTCCTTATTTCTCCCTTTTAATGCTCTTCATAGATGCCCTTTTGAAAAGATATCAATGTCCATTAGCACACAGAGCTTAGAGCTGGGTTTTTTTTGTGAAAACACACTATCTACCAAAAAAAAAAATGTTAAATATAGAGGATTATTGCTTTTACACTGAAAGCACAAAATGGTAGAATCAGCAGGAGGTGCATAGTGCCAAAAAAAGATGTGCTTTGTATGACAAATTAACACAGAAGGCGATTTAAAAGATAGGATTAAATCAAAGACAATGTTGCAGGTTTATAAAATTCCCAGTCCTGCCCCCGTCAAATCAAAGATAAATCTCCCAAAGCACTAAATCTTATGTAATCACTGTAAATTCCTATTGTCTTAAAAGGGAGCTGGATTAGGCCTCTAATTTGGTTTTGTAAAATCTGTTTGGTCCAGATGAGTAACCAAGCAATGGACAATCTCCAAGGAACAACTCTATCACATGGTCTCAACATCGTCTACTACAGCTTGCCAATGCAATTACTCCCAGTGGTAACCTCTAAATACTGGAGTAAAGCTGATTTTGCCCATGAGTGCTAAATGCATTTTGCCTTTCCACACAGGAAAGAAGCAATATCACATCTAATCTCACAAGTTCCCAGTGAGCCAAACACAAGATACTGTCCCTTGAATTCTTCCTGAGACCAACAAAGGCTTTCCATTATTTACAAATCAAAAGCATTTAGAGACAATCATCTTTATTTTTTATTTAAAACAAGGAATGCTCTGTCACTATTATATAAGAAAAAATATACATCCACCTATTTATACCCATCCTAATCCAAGCATTCCAAAAAATAGAATTCCTATTCATGCAGGTAATTGCTGCACAATAAAATAATAATAATAAAATAAAAATATTATTATTAATAATAATTTTTATAAATAAAATAAAAACAACAAAACACACTCCTTAGTTCCAACAGGTTTTCCAATTTACCTTAAATAATTCCATCTGCAAATTGTTGGAACAGTTTCAAACAGTGAAAGTAAATATAGTTAAATCAATAGGATTACTTGCTTTTGATTATTAATTCCATTGCTAGTTTTTTCTTGTGTTTTTATTATGCATACCAGTTTTACAAAGTGCATGCTCTATTTTACTTTTTAAATTTTGAACTGGCAAGTTAAAATGATCCATCATTTCCTGCCTTTTTGTAATGATAATACAATCTAAAATCTAGCATTAAAAAATTTACCATGATACACCTGGTATATTGACTGCTTATGGCGCATGCTTGTCTTGGCAAATAAAAAAACCAAATTGGCTCCCTCCCCACCTCCCCATTCTGTTTGGAAGCAATCAAAAAGATAAAAGCAGGCTGGAACACAATTGCCTCAAGGGAAAAAAAATAATACCTGATGCTTTAATTTTTGTCGCATGGCACTAGTTGTGGAATTGCACGCTCACACACCCACACACACCCAACACACATACAAGCACACACGCACGCTGCAACCTGCCCATGAGGAAAATAGTTTATTAGGTCAGGAGTGCCAGTGGCACATGAAGGCTCCCAGCTGTGTGTGCAACTTTGGATTTGGTACCCACTTCACGTCACCTTGAATCCTCTGACATCCACCGAGGGGGTAATGTAAGGCATACTTTGCTGGAACAGTAATAATCCATGCTTCATGCTCAAGAGCTGAGTCTCAGAGGAGGACTGGCTTTCTCTACTCCCTTTGGCCTCACTCCGTCTCACTCAAGGAACGGAAAAAACAAAACAACAGAGAAGGACTGGAGAAAACAAGGAAAGCAAAAGACAAATCACTTTAAATGGACTTTCGCCTTCTCATCAGCCTGTGGTTATCTGTAAAGCTGTGCAACCCAGGTGAGATGGAGCTGACAGGAGATGGGAAAAGGCTGTTTTTTAATGTGCTTGGCGAGATCTCCTCTATCTTGTAAGAGATGGAGTGAAAGTACTGGGGGTTCAGCTTCGAGCTGAACGAATTTTGGTGGGACACCACCCGGCTGGTGTACTCATGGGACCTGTAACACATGCAGGAACAAACTGACTGAAGGTCTGTTACTTCGGCCTTGTACCGTGGCCGACCATGCTGGGAGTCCTCTTGGATGTGGATAATCATGCTGTTGCGGTTCCCCGCCAGGGACGCCCGTTCCTCAGCATCCCGCCTCTCGTCCTCACTGTTCATGGTTAAGAACCTGAGAACAACCAGATTTAGAAATGCCCCTATGACTGTCAACCCCACTAGAATGTACATAAAGCTAAAAGCCACGTAGAGAGGCTTCTTTTGAAGGGCCCCTTTGGTCTGCAGGGCCACATAGTCTCCAAAACCTATCGTAGTCAATGTTATAAAGCAGTAATAGTAAGCATGGAAAAAGCTCCATTCCTCGTACTGGGAAAAGGCTGCTGCTCCAATGCAGAGTGTTCCCATGCAGGAGAAGAAACCCACAGTGACCATGTTTTCCATGGAGACCTCGGTGCTCCTCATCCCACAGCACTTTTTGATGCGTTTCAAGAGGTACTTGACGAAGGTGTTCATGCGCTCGCCCAAGCTCTGGAACATGACGAGTGTCAGTGGGATCCCCAGGACTGCGTAGAACATGCAAAAGGCCTTTCCTGCGTCTGTTCCTGGGGCAGCATGCCCGTAACCTGGGAGGGGGAATGAAAACACAGGACAGTCAGCAATTAGTTGATCACTAACAGCTCCCTGTTCAGACAGGCTGCACAAATCACAGTGACTCCAATGCTGCAGGCAGGTCCAAAGCAACAGCGGCTATGAGGGCATCACCGTCACAGGATTTTCACATTTTCTTCACATGTATCCCCTAGCCACAGCAAACAATACACATTAAAATAGAACTGTACACACAGGACTGGGAAAGATGAAAGAATCAGCAATCCACCTTACTTCTGCAGTCTTCTAAATACTGCATTTATTTGCTAAAGAAATTTCATGTCCATCCTGCGTCACACACAGTACAGGAAATACTGAAAATAGGTGACCTCGACAATATTTCTGAAAGGAGTTGGTGTTGCCCTGCCCCAAAACCAGAGTACACCAATAGCATCTGAATTCTGTGTCTGCTGGCAAGGGTGAGTCAACAGCACTGTTGCCAGCAGACACAGATCAATGGAAGTCTTTTATAACTGTCTTCCATACAGAATAAACCTTTCTCACAGGCACCATTCTGAAAGCCATTCACTTCTGAAAACTGGAATGCCATAGGATTTTAGGGGTTTAATATCTGCTCCACCTTCGGTTACTGAAGAATAAAGAACTTACCAGCATCTCTTAAGAGTTTTACAGCTTTTTCAAACAATCTGGGAAATATTATTTTGCCACAATACTAAACTAATCCGGGACAGAGAATGTTCACAGCATATTTTCCAGAAAGTAAAATCACAGCTAGACCCTCATTCTAAATCCAACAAGCGTAGGATTCTGTTTCAAAATGATGTCAATTTTTTCACATTACACTGCTTTACATTTCATAAGATTGCAAGTGATAGTACCGAAGCTTCCAAAATAGGATGGCTGGGAATCCTGCAGACATGGTATGCAATGACCATGTGGGTACCACTATATAGATTTCCCTTAAAGACAATGAATAGAAATCCATACTTCTCAAATGCAGTACTTCTCATCTACATCTAGATGCCTAAAACAAGTCACTAACTTATTCTCAGGATACACCTATTTCTCTACAGTGATTATAACTGAAATCACACAACAGACTTCAGCTGAAGATTAAAATACATAAATCTAGGTATCTACATGTGTGCTAAGAGTCCAGGGTACTTTTACAGTCAACGAAGATTTAATAAAAATAGGCAGCGATGAGTTACTTAACTGCCATTCCAACACCTGTCTACTGTACATTACGCTGTAGAGACACTACTGACTGTTCCATTGACTGTATTCTCTAGGTCCCCATTAGACTGAGTAGATACCTAATGACTTCAGAAGATTCCAGGTATCTACTGCACAGGCTCACAACCACATGGAAACACCCCATCATCGGCATCTTCATCAAAAGCACAGCTCCACCTTCAGTGACTATCACAACGTAGGTGCCTGCATTGTAGATACTTAAGATTTAAATCCACACAGAGGCATCTAGCATAACTTGAAACCCCTCAGTTACCATGATATCCATACAGGGATGGTTAAAGAAACACTTGGTATACAGCCGACAAACTTCAGAATGAAAAGCAACAACAGAACAAAGGAGATAAAATGAAAGAACCAGCAAGAACGTCCTCCAAAAAGTTACACTTACTTCCTTAGCTCAGTTGCTAGTTATTGGGAAATGCATGGGAGGTAAGAAATAATTTGCAAACAAAATATATAGATTAAAAACAGGAAACTCTTTTCAGGTGACACAAAAATTGTTTCAGCAGTTATAATGGGATAGGTAGCCTGCTCTTTGTAAAAAGTAGTTTCCAAATTACCTGCAAGGGGAAGTGTCTTCAATAGATGGATGCTGAATTTGTTCCACCTGACTGTCCCTCAATAAAGGCTATAATTGCCTCTCATTACTAAGCTTCTGAACTACAGGGGTGTTAATTAAAGCAGGGACATCTTCTCATTTTATAGTTTTAGTTACAGCTGATGAAGAGTAGGAAAGCATCAGAAAATGTTATTTTCCAGATGGTTACAGAGATGGCAGTTGGTGGAAACAGCTTTCAGTTTGGGTTCTAAAGAAAAGGGTTGGGGTGAAAAAAAGACTTCTTTTGATATCCTATATTCCTATATATTCTATTCTAATATATAGGATATCCTATATCCTATATATTGATATACTATATCCCTCTTACTAGAGATATCCACAGAGACAGATTAGAGATATTATAAAACATTAATATTATATACTTTCACACTCTGTCATTGCTGAACTTCTAAGATTTGTCACAGACTTTGTAATTAACTCAAATTTAGTACTCTTAAGAAAGGAATATACTATATCCTTGTTCCACAGATAGCAAAGCACAGACACAGGCAGGCTGTAATTTCTGTCCAGTTCACATAAGTAGACAAAAATCCAGAAATCTGTATTTCTATTTCATCCCATTCCATACTCAATACTACAATATCAGATACATGCCTTTTACCATATTTTGACTACGATGTATGAGAAAAGGAAGGACTTCAGTCATGAAGCTGGCATTAGATTTTGCAAATACTTTCATACACTGGGGATCAGTGCATTTCAATGCATTTCTCTAGTGTAATGCTGCTTTATGGAACAGTCACCTTAGTCACTGCCTTCAGCAATCTAGAAAGAGAGAAATCCAAACACACGAAAGAAAGACTAAGCTCTCTATTTAAGAATCAGTCCAATACACACAATAATATTTGAAAAGAAGCTCCGTCAGTGCATGCTCTCTGAAATTCAGTATATCTCAAATCTAAAACAAAACACCATTGCCTTAACATCAGAGAGTGCCCCTAGGAAAATTGAGAAGGTCAGTAATTGCAAGAGCAAGAGGGGCACAAAAACATCAAATATCTCCCTACAGTGCATTGCAGCTTACTTGTGTCAGGGAAAGACAGAAGCAGAAGAAACTGCTTTGGTAGCAGATTTCAGCCTTTAAGTTCAGCATAACTTCCTCCACAAAAATGCTACTGCCCTTTGCCAAAGTGTAAAGACATGGCTCCATGTGAACTACAATGAATGCAAGAATGCAAGGCTTCAAGAGAAATATCAAGGTGAAACACAACACTGGTATTTCTTATTCTCCTGTGACTAAGGAGGAAGACCAAACAGAAGTCCTTGGATATGAGATACAGCAAATGCATCACATAATAAGCCAAGAAACTGGGATAGCAGTGAAAAATATATAGAAAAGTCACTAGGTCACTGCTCGGTTAATACTAGCTATACTCCTCGAGTACACTAACAAGTTTGCTGAGGTCCCACAGTACAGAAATATGACCTCAGCAGGGAGATTCATCTACTATTCAATGAGATATCATTTGAATGATCAACAACAGCCATTAGTAGTCTCTCTTTTATAATCCCTCTCAGATGGTTTGGCTTTCAAGACAGAACTCATTTGGTTTGGCATGAAGAAGAACAGTTAAGCATGAAGAAATATAGTCTAAAAGTGTCATTCCAGTTCTGGAGGATGGAGCACCAATCCATCACAAAAACTATCTTCTCCCAGTTACGGAAGAGCTGTGCTACAAGTATCAAGCAGAACTGCAGGAAGGTGTAGGCAGGACAAAGAGTCAGAGCACGGAGGCTGACACCAGATTAGTACTCTGTTGATGGTTTTTCTGCCATTAATTTTTTCTAGCTCTTCTGTACTCTTTGACCGTACCTCTTAAAAACCAAGTGCACCAGTATAAAAACTGTTTTCTTGCTTTCAAGAGTATAGCTATGAAAGCCAATGGAAAATCCACTCAGCCTCCTTCAACTATATTTTCCAAGGTAGCTTTCAAATGAGACACAGAATGAAACACTTCATTACAATTCACTTGTGAGGTGGATAACCCCAACTGCTTCCTTTCACTTCCTAAGGGACACTGCGCAATATAGTATGCAGAAGAACTCAGTGCTGATTCACCCACCCTGAATCCAACAGTGACCAAAAGAAGATGGACAGGGAAGAGTATAAGAACAGCGTGACTATATGCAACATTATGCCTCCGAGTATTCAAGTACCCAGTTTTCTTCAGGTGCTCATGGACTTCCAAAGCCAGATATGGTTTCACTGATTTTAGTAATGAATAATGAATTTCTCACCCATGGGTTTGGGTATTCCTCCTTCAACCTGTATAAACTTTCAGCAACTGCAGCAAGAAGGTCTGTACATCAACAAAAAAATTACCATCACTTTTTCATTCTAAAATTCTCTCCCACTGTTACTTGAATCCCCACTACCACTATGGAAGAGACCAGTGACAGTCATTCTTAACCTTCTTTGTGCCACTCATGAATTTATTTACATTCTCAAGACAAGTGTCATGCCTTGGTATCTTACACTCGGGCCCTAAGCAAATATTTCTGGCACTGACAGTCTCACGTGGATAGAGCAGATTGCTTAGATCTACATCAGTGATCTTTGCACCATGGTCAGCTGCAGGGTACAGACAGGCCCAGAAAATCTGTCATGTCTTCCAACATAACTTCTCCTGAATAATACTTTACTTCTAGAGCAAACATCATCTGAATAAACAGTGCTTTTGCAGTGATGCAGACTACAAAGAACAAATGAATATACAACAAAAATAAAGAATTATTGGGAAAATTCCTGAATACTTTTAGTGTGTTGTAACTACCACTAAGACTGCATGGTGATTCCAGTGCTAGCAAACTAAACTGGGATAATGTGTTGATTCCAGCACCAACCTGTGGCTATCCACACTGTTATATCAGCATAGATCCCATCATTCCACCACGTTTTTAACTTGTGCCAATCAGTATTGTCCAGATGTGTCTCTAGATGAGCACTGGTACCAGACCAAAATCTCAGTCATTGTTAAAGACTAAAAATGAAATGTGGCAGTGATAAGCTACTTATAGTTTATGTTCAGGAGAGTGTGTAGCTGCAGCATGGCCAAGTCTCAACTTCACATTCAGCGTACAACAGGTTTTAGATGTAATGAATCTTGAAGCAACACTGCGTTATTCATGAGGGATGTT